TGAATTGTTGATAACGTGTGAGACTCTGGCTTCCCCTCAGCCACTGAGGCCAGTGGGGAAGGGACATGCATGCAGGGTTACAAAAACCATTCTCTGACTTTGCATTGCCATCCCTGAATTCAAGTCTCTGCTGAGGCACCTGCCTGTGCAAGCTCATAAAATAAACTGCCTCAGTTTCACTAGTCTGAGTCTTACAGGCTTTTTCTAGAGCCGAGCTAGGGGCTAGGCCATAGAGGACAGCTTTGACCCAGGGCCCTTTCTTTTCAAGGTCGCCTTTTGTTATCATAGCAGAAGCAAAGCTCCAACCTCTGTCTGACGCTTGTGAATACAGCGAAGGGCCTTGTCAGCAAGCAGAGGATTTCCCTCCTGAAAGCCTGATTTGACAAAGTTCAGAAGGCAAGACAAGACCCGGTGGCACATCAACACTTACAAATACGACTGAGGAGGAGCACTTTATTGGGCCTCGTTATAGGGTGGAAGACTCAAATCTACTTCTGGGTTTGCAAACTCAGCAACACTCACCAGCCCCTGAGCTTGCCTTAAAATCCCGCCAATCCCTAACCTGGAAAACTCTGCCTCCAAGAAGCCCTCTGTAAAGCCCTCCTCCTGCCCGCTCCCTGAGGCTTCCGCCCTAGCAGAGGCAGCCATGCTTTCACGTCTCTCCCGGTAAAGCTCTTGTGTGGGGTTTGTTGCACAGTATGGTTCTTTTGGTGTTCCTCGGCTTTCAACTCCCAGGAAACCTTTCCCCTCAGAGCTGCAGCACCTGCATGGGGAAGCCCTTCCCCTCAGAGCTGTGTTACTTACTCCTGTGTTGAACCATCAGGCCAGCACAGGAAGAGTCTCTTACCTGACTTGAAAAGTTAGCAACTCAGCCTGGTTGTGCATGAGGGAGGAGTATGGCAAAGGTAAAGGACCTGTATCAGTCCCATGCCTTTTCTGAAGTCATCAAAAGAAGCGGTGGTTTCTGCCACGGCGCACGTGTGAAAGCAGCTTCGGGCCGTGGAGTGGCCACAGAAACTTGTCTGGTTAACTGCTCTTTCCCCAGGCTAGAACAGGCTGTCTGCTGGAGCATGACTTCAGCTGCTTTTGTGGCGGTCCTCTGCAGCAGCTGTTCTGTCTTCAGAGTGGCTACATCTGAAACAGCCAGGCTGACAGGAGGGTCGTCCAGTAAGGTTTCTAGGAAAGGGCCCAGTCAAGCCTGCCATTTTCAAGGGAGGGGCTCATCAAATGCCTGCTACTCTTGGGAGTTTAAGTACTTAATATCCAATACCATAGCCAATACTTACAGAAAGCTCTGCACATGACTAACAATTTTAATAATGGTTGACACTACTTAAATAGTATTGACCCGTGTTTGGTAGTGTTTAGTCCTGCCCCAGGGCCCCAGGGGAGGCAGGTCCTTCTGGTCTGTCTGACAGCATCCTGGCTTTGGACTTCCACGCAGCAGAGCTGTAAACAAGGTGCGTCCCTGTCCTTCAAGTTGCCCAGCCTTGGCATTTTGTTCTCGCAGCCAGGTAGCCTAAGACAAGAAGCAAACCAACACAAATATCTAAGGGTGAGGGCTGGGAAAGCAGCTCAGCTGGTGGAGCGCTCATCCCGTGTGCACAGCGCCCTGGGACCATCCCCAGCACTAAGGGACTATGCCTACAGTACCCGGTCTCAAGAGACGGAGGCAAGGGGATCAAGAGTTCACGGTCTGCATCGTGTACCGGAAGACAGTCTAGGATACAAGAGAGTTTATCTGAATGAAAGAAAGAGAGAAGAAGAGAAAGAAAGAGAAACCTAAGAATGAATAGAGCAGAAAGGAAATTAACACTACGAACTTAGATGCTAAGACAGATAAGGGTGAAATCTATCTCTCTGTGAAAAACTGGGCAAGATGCTAAACATTGTTTAAAAGAAAAAACAAACTTTAAAAACTACTGTAATGGAAAAAAAATACTGTAGTGTTAATAACAGACGTGTCAAGTCCTTTACTGTAAGCTCTGCCTGTGATTCCATTTTCCTGTAAATAAATGAGGATGCTGGGGGCAGGCAATTTTACTCCCGAATTGGCAGCTATTGGATTCTGGCTTCTGTGAGCAAAAGGACTATCAGTCAAATGGCCAGCCACGCTACCCTTCGACAGCTTAAATGTCTTGAAGAAACTATGCAGGGATCATAGCTGCTAGCCTGGCTCCTCAGGGTGCAGCTTTAGCAAGGACTGTTTCCAACAATTTGCAGAAATGTTTTGTTGTTACAAGCCTTGGTGAACTCTGCATGACCCTGTAATCATTTCTGCCCAGGTACTCCCTCTGATGGTCTAACCGAGGGACAGCTGTAATTAGTGTCAAGAGGCAAGGATGTAATTGGTGAAAACACAAACCCTTATTTGTATGTGGGGTGTGCTGTGATTAAAGTATAAACCTTCATGAGCATGTGAGGCAAAATGTGATTGGTCCACACACCCTTCTCTGGCTACATACATGTGTTGTTCAGGCTTACTTAATGCGTTAGCTGGGGCCGCCCTGCTGTGTGCCTCTTGATATTGCAGCATTGGGGTGAATAAACAGTCTCTCTCCTTCTCCTTTCTGATATAGAGGGTCTCACCATGCAGCTTCAGTTGACCCGGAACTACCAATGCAGCAATGTCAACCAGACGAGTCTCAAAGTCACAGATCTGACTCCAAGTGCTGGGACTACAGACACGCGCTGCCGCATCCAGCTTTCTAAGCTTTTTTTATATTACGTGTGTGTGTGTGTGTGTGTGTGTGTGTGTGTGTGTGTGTGTGTGTTCACATGTATGTAGGAAAGCCAGAAGCCACTATCAGGTGCTCTGTTTTGACACAAGGTCTCTCTGTGAACATGGAGTTTTCTGATCCAGGCAGACATGAAGCCCCAAGATCCTTCGCCTCTGTCCCCCACCCCGATCCTACAGCGTTGAGTTGATAAGCACTTGCCACCACACTCAGATTCCCCCCCTTAGGTGTTAGGGACGGATGCTTGCAGAGCAAGTGGTCTACCAACTGAGCCATCTCCCCGGCTTTTCAGAGCGTCTAGCCAGCGATCCTGGGCTGCGAATATGAAAAGCGCAACAAAGAAGCCATAGAAGGCGGCAGGGCTACCTTAACATCTTTTTGGTTGCTGTGAAATGTATGACCCAAGTAACCTGCAGAAGAAAAATGTTGTTTTGGCTTTCCCAATGGGTAGACCCTAAAGACAGAAGAGGCCTGGCAAACGGGACCAGAAGGCGAGAGGTCACACCTCTGACCACACCAGAAGAAGAAACAGGTGACACCATGAACTCTCAAAAGCTGCTCCCTTTGCCTCCTCCTCCAGAAAGGCCCCAAAGCACCCCGCCCACCGGGAGTCAAGTGTTCAAACCCTCGACCTTATGGAGGACGGTGCTCACTCAAACCACCGCAGGTGTTGACAGTTGAACATCAAGGCCAAAAGGCAAGCGTGAGGAGAGGCAGTTGGCTATTTAAGACTGAAGAGGCGACAGCTGAGCCGATGACGCGCACACGGACACGAGGTTAGTAGTGAGGGTAGAGAAAAGTGGGGAGAAAGGATAGACGACTACACAGTTCCTAAAACTCCTGGAGAGCAACACCGTTCTCTTCACGAGGTGAGTGCATAAGCAGGGATGTACCCAGTAACGGAATACTGGGTCCTCGGGGCACCCAGGAAACGCAGCCATGCGTTCCTAAGCAAGGAACCCACCCGACAGCTTCTTGCTGGAGGCCAGGGCCGAACGGCCGCAGAGGGGAAGCCCAGGGCCTGGGGCAGGGGTGCGGTCGCCAAGGGGAGCCCAGAGACTCTGTAGAGGGAAACTGAGGTGCTGACGCCCGCGCTGCTGCCCCCGGATCTTAACAAGCACAGCTCTGTGCTGGGAAGGCTGAGCTCGGAGCGAGGCCACTGGAAACCTTGTATCTCCTGCTGGGCTTTCCTCCGAGTCCCAGACTCCGCCGAGAATACTCTTCCCCCGATTCTTCACAGAAGAGTGTGTGTAAGAATGAACAGACCCAGAGATGAGTGCACAACGCAGCTGGGCCTCGTGAGCATTTTCCCAAGCTTAAAGAAGGTTTACTACGAGACAGGGAAGAAGGAATCCTCTTTTCCAAACCAGATATGGCTCGGGCCCAGACCTTCGTGTCCCTCGAAGGGACAGAGTGACCCAGGGACATCGCGCACCTCAAGGCAGCAGCCAGGAGGCAGAGGCGCGTGGGTGTGGGCAGGGGAGCGGCGCATGCGCCCTATGGGGGACGCCAGGCCGCATGTGCGTCGCAGGCCAGGGCGACTCAACGCCTTCGCTGCCGGCGTTTGGGGGCTCATGGGAGATATGTAAATGAGCTAGAGCATCATGGGTGCTGGCCCTTTATAAGGGCCTGGTGCTGGTGCTGGTGCTGCCTCGAGGCAAGCTTTGGTTCGGCGTCCATTAGCAGGCTTGCTGGGACCTCTTCAGGGAGGTGAGGATGGAAAGGGGCTGAGGGCGTGGCTGGCGCTGGTTGGATGGGCTGGGGCTGGGTGGGGTGGGGGTGGGAGCGCTGTGGGCAGAGAGGAGGTCCTGCCTTAGGCTTGCCGGCCCCCTTGCTGGGCCCAAGTGTGGGCTGAAGCTGTGAGCCCTGGCCTGCTCAAGGTGAGCAGTGAGCCCCAACACCCCTCTCCTCAGCGCTCCCAGCAGCTTGCCCAGCAGGGGGAGCCAAGCCTCATTTCCTTTGCCTTTCTAGCTCCCCAGACCTTGGAGCAAGTGCGAAGCTGAAGAAGTTTCCGGAAGCTCAAGTCTGCCTGCTTCTCCAGGGAGGTACCCATTGACTTGGCACCAGTTCTCGCACCGCTGCCCGGTGTCCTGGAGCCCAGAACACCTCCTACTGCACCCCATTGTCTCCTGTTTCTCCTGTTCTCGGCTTTCCCCGCCTGTTAGCATCTCGAGGTCCCCAGACCTGCAGGCGGGACCTCCTGAGACCATCGGGCAAGCCTTCCTCTCTCTGTCCAGTTAGCTGCACACAGGCTTCTTGGCCATGTGTCCCCCGGTCAGCGTTCGCCAGGGAGCCAAGGGCATGCCCTGCCTCTATGCAGCCTGGCTGTACCAGCTTGTCCATGGAGACCAGATGAAGATCTGCTTCTCTTGCTTCAAGGCAGCTGTCCTGAGCGATAGAGGGATGCTGTTGGAAGGGGAATTCTCAGAGTCAGGATCTGAGCCAGACTCAGAGTCAGGCTGTGAGACAGACTCAGAGTCAGGCTGTGAGCCAGACTCTGAATCAGGCTGTGAGCCAGACTGTGAGCCAGACTGTGAGCCAGGCTCTGAGCCAGGCTCTGAGCCAGGCTCTGAGCCAGACTCTGAGCCAGACTCTGAGCCAGACTCTGAGCCAGACTCTGAGCCGGAGGCAGGGGCAGGGCCCATCCCTGAACAGTCGCCACTGAGTATGAATATGCCTATCCAGGAAGAGCTTGGGGAACTATTCATTCAGGCAATAATGACACCCAAACTTGTGCCCACTGAGTTGGAGCCTCAGGAAGTTGTGCCCCTGGAGCTGGGGCCTCAGGAAGCCGAACCCTTGGATCTGTATCCCGAGCTTACTGAGTGGGCCGAGGCCCTTCCCCGGAGAGTTGATGGCCTTTTTAAGTGCACGCACCAGCTCATGCCTCCTCTGTCCTGGTGGGATGTTTTCAATGGTGTGAACATGTCTCCTGGGCAGCCTGTGTTGTTGGAGCTGAGCGCCATGTGCCCCATGACCAGTGCAGAATTCTATTTGACAGGCCTGCGGTTCTTCATCCTGTTGGCTGTCTCCCAAAATAAGAGCATCCTGCTGTCAATGTCTACCCGCTGGGTTGTGATGACTCAGGCCAGTCGCTGGGAGTTGTTTCTTGACCCTGGTGAGGTGAGGACAGCTGACTTGCTACAGTCACTTGAAGGGCAGGACCTGCAGTTCTGGAGGCTGAGCATGCTGGAGTGCCCGAGATACAACCAGGTGCTGGTGCCTGCTCTCTGCGGTCTGCGGAAGAGAGGCTTCAGGGTGCACTCCTACCTGCCCTGGCAGGATTACATCCCAGACGACTGGGGCCTCTGGTCGCCAAATCACGAGAAGTTAGTCAAAGACCCCAGGCTTGGCCCAAGCTCTCCCGATCCTGATCCTGCTCCCTGATGCACGGAACTGATGCTCAGGCAGCATCCGGGATTCTGGGGGCCGAGGACAGCTGGAGGGTGCTTGTTCTGAGCAGCAGGAGGAAGTTGGTCCGGGGCTTGGGGGGGCATCTTTAACAGCCTAGGGGTTTAGGAAGTTCAGAGGGGAGGCTGTCATGTTCACATCGGGGTTCAGTTGTCCTCAGGTGTCTGCTCAGTGTTTGGAAGGTGAGGCCTGGCTGCATGTGTAGACAGAGCATTGCGTGTTGGGTGCTGTGGGGACAGGTCACAGACCTTGTGGTAGTGTGTGCATGGACTCAGGCAGTGGAAGACCTGGAAGGTTCTGTACTTAGATGCTGTCTTATGGACCAAGGGACCTGATTCAGGTTTAACTGCAGAGTGTTTGTGCTCGTTGTTTTTACTCATGCCCCTCTCAATCGTTTTTGTTGAATAAAGTTGGATTTTAAATTTTGTTATTTTATGTGTGTGGGGTTGCCTCTACATAGTGTCTTCATGCCTGGTACTTGCAGCAGCCAGGTCCCCTCCTGAAGCTGGGGTTCCAGCTCTGAACAGCAGGTGCTGGGAGTTGAACCTGAGTCCTCTGGAAGAGGAACCAGTGCTTTTACCGCTGAGTCACTGTTGTAGCCCCAGCTGGCAGTGTGGAATGGCAGCAGTCTTCTAAGTGGGGATGGAGCAGTCCCACAGAGCTGCCAGCAGGGCACGGGGGCTTTTGTTCTGAGTCCTGTGTCGGTCTTCATAGCGTAAATAAAGCACCCTGTGTTGAGGGCTACACCGTGGGAGGGAAAGGCCAGCTAGGGTGCCATGTGCCTTGTCACCACTGTCTTCTACAAGGGACCTGTCTAGAAATGTCTGCAGTTCTCTGGGTACTGCTGGCTGACGTCATCCTCTAGTGACTCGGTTGTGCAGCTGACATAGGGTGGCAGCCCCAGGGTCACCTTGGACCCCATATTATAACATCACATGATAAGTTTTCTATGTTTTTGGTTTTTTAAACAAGGTCTTGCTATGCAGTCCAGGCTAACCTCAAACTCACACTCCTCCTGACTGCAGGGATTATGTCATTTAATTGCCATACTCCACCCCCACCTCAAGCATTGCTTTTTTTTTTTTTTTTTAAGATTATGTATACAGTGCTCTATCTGCATGTACACCTGCACACCAGAAGAGGGCACCAGATCTCACTATAGATGGTTATAAGCCACCATGTGGGTGCTGGGAATTGAACTCAGGACCTCTGGAAGAACAGCTAGTGCTCTTAATCTCTGAGCCATCTCTCCAGCCCTCAAGCATTGCTTTTTTAATCTAACTTCTAGTGTCATTTTGCTTCATAAGTCTTCCAGAAGTGTCTTCATTCTTTAAGTCACTTAGGGTTCTGATGCTCATTCCTGCAGAGATGGCTCCACACGGTTGTGTAAAACTACAGTAAAGAGCACAGTTGGTGCCTGTCTCCAGGCCTGGAGCCTGTGGCCCAGTGGAAAACTAACTCCCTGACAAGATGACCCGGGACAAACCCTCCATGCTCCCCCCCCACCTTGGTTAAGCAGCCCCAACAGACCTCCTGTTGCTGTCTACGCTTAGCTTTGCTCTCCGTGCGTTTGAGGTATAGGTGCTCTCATGGTGCTGTGCACGTGTGGGGAGGTCAGAGGAGGGCACTTAGGGGTCCTCTCTCTCCTCCCAGGAGTGAGCGCTTGGGTCATCAGCTGTCCTGGGACTCGCAGCGATCCGCCTGCCTCTGCCTCCCGAGTGCTGAGGTTACAGGCGTGGGCCGCTGCTGCCCGGCTTGTGCAGGCTGCTTTTTAAATAAGAAATGAATTTGTTGATTGATTTGTGTCTGTGGTGATGTGTGTACACAAAGCCCTGTGTTTCAGCCTTCACTAGCGTGGGCGTTTCCAGTCGGGAGCAGCGTCTGCACCGGGCCCACCTGCCAGCTTCAGAGCATCCATCGCTTGTGGTTCCCGAGAGGTCCAGGCTGCCCACACTAACAGTGGCCCGAAGCCCCAGCTGCAGAGCCGTCCAGGTTCTAATTGATTTCATTGTGGTCATCGTCTCTCCAGCTGTGTCTCAGATGGGGATGGGCGAATTAGGCCCCGGAAGCAGGAAACCACTGCTGAGATTGGAAGTGGGGTGAAGCCTGTCTGTACCGAAAAATAACAAAAAAGAAAAGCAAAGCACTTCCTAGAGCCGGGGGAGGTTGCAGGCTTCGCAGTGCTGTAGAGACAGCGCAGAGTCGATCCCAGCTGCAGGCCTTAGGTACCCCCGCAGCTCCGGAGGAAGAGCCCCAGCCCTGACGCTGGGGGCTTCAAGAGCCATCTCCGCACTGACCAGTTTTGGTTCCCAGGGGCCTGCCTTGGTGTTAAGAGTGTCAAGGCCTGGACTGCGCCACTCAGCCCTCTGATCACCTTTCCCAACGTTTTCAGTAACAGATCACAGCTCTTGTGGACCGGAGTGGTGAAGAGAGGGACCCATGGTCCATAAGCATCTGTGGTTTTCTTCACTAAGTCAGAGAGTGCCTGCGTGTTGCCTGTATGTACCCCTGAGAGGAGCTTTTCCCCAAACGGGCTTCTACCCACTGAGCCTCATTCTTTGACGAGCATGGCAATGCAATTGGAAATGAGTCCTTTGAGAGAAATTATCATTCTCAAACATAATGAAGCCATTATGTGCAGAACAAAGCTTTAAGTCACATTGAGTGGCAGTGCAGGCTGTGTGACCAGCGTTGGTTTAATGGTCTATGAGGTCATGCACAGGTAGAGCACACCGGTGTGGGGGCACGTGGAGAGCACTTGCCTTTGGACAGCCCAGTTCTGTATGATCATTTGGACCTCGTGGACACTCAGGTTCCCCGTTACCAAGCTGAGGCTGAGGCTACCTGTGGGCCAAGAGAAGGGTTCTCAGATGACCCCCCCCCTTCCTGGCTCTGCATTCTCTTTGTCCCCCTTCCCTGCTAACCACCCTTGCGGTGACCCAGCAGCTCTGTTGTCTACAGAGTTTGTCCAGCACCCACATTAGGCAGGCGCCTGTCCTTTGGAAAACGGTGCTGTCGGGGCTGCAGGGTGGAGGGAGGAGGGGCGGCTGGGGCTGAGCGCGGCAGTGCAGAGCTTCCCTGGCTGCCCTGGAAGGAGACAGCAGCAGAGACAAGCAAGCGTGGGGCTGCTCGAAGTGCAGAGAACTGAGGAGCAACCACAGCTGAATCCGTCATGGACGTGTCTGACCTGTGGCCCTTGGGCTTGGTGACATGGATAGCTTCCTCTAGGTTGGCCATCGGCTTCTGGCGGCCTTTCTATGGAGTCTGGGCTCTCAGGAGGCCAGAGCATTGGCTGGACAGAATGAAGCTCTGGTTCTGCCACAAGGAGAGTGCAGATGTACTGCCCTCCAGAGAGGGGTCCCTCTGCCTGTGACCCAGACATGGTTGAAAGGGGGGCCCTTTCAACCAGAAAGGTGCCCAGAAAGATGCCTGCCAGAAGGTCTTCTACCTCCCCTGGCTGAAAGTACTAGCCTGAGGTGGGAATCAGACTGCTTTGTATACAGGGTGGCAGCGAAGAGGCCAGACCTGAGGCAGACGACCCCGAGGGGTGCAGCTGGGGTCTGCTCTAGGCTTCTTAAGCCCCACGCCTGAGCTCTTCATAGGAAGTGGAATCTGAAAAACCTCTTCAGATTCATCTCTGCATTGTTTTCCGAGATGGTCTGGTTCCCCCGTTCAGAGACGGGAGATTTCTTTTTCTTCAGCGTATGACCGACATGGACCTGTCCTTCTGAGCACTACCCAGTGTGCCTCTACCAGAGTCTCTGCCACAGAGAGGGGCAGAGTGGAGAGCGGTTCCCTGTGTCCCAGGTTTGCCTGTGTGGTCTCCCCTGGAGGGCTGAGGCGCCGGAGGATGTGCAGGGAGCCCATCAATGATGTCAGCAAACAGTAAGACCCCAGCGCTGCTACCCGAACCCGAGCTCCTGTTACTTAGTGGATCGTGGTCCTGAGGGCCTTACCCTGCTCACGGTCCCTGTGCCGTCGGCACGGGCCTCTTGCTCACCTCTACAGCAAGTCATAACTCTTTGGGCCTCGAGCTGACACTCGTGGTTACATGAGGTAGGGAGGGGATGAGCCCCCACACACACAGAGGTCCTTCCCTCCCAAGCCGGGCCAGCACCTCTGCGGAGGAGCCCTCACCGGGCCGCGGCCGTTATAATACCCAGCCCGGCGCATTCCCAGCTGGCAGCGGGACAGGTGGCAGCGGCGGCCGGCGCGGGCGTGGCGGGGACCCCGGGGAGGCCGGCCCTTGCCCGGCTCAGAGGCTCAGAGCCTGGGGAGCTGTCCGCGCCCTGTGCCCCTGCGCGCGGCGACGCCACTGAGCCTCTGCGGCAGCCCGGGGCTGGGAGGCGGCCGAGGGCTCGGCGACAGAGGTGGGCGCGCGGGCACCTCTCCGTGGCCGAGGGCGCGGCCCGCAGGGAGTGGGGCGTGCCCGAGAGCTGCGCGGGGCTTTGGCCGGCTTCACGCGGCGGCTGGCACTGGAAACTTTCACCCTCCCTGAACTGGTGACTGGAGGGCAGTTCGCCTTCCTGGAGGGGCAGGAGGACCCCGGTGTGTCTGGAGCTGAGCTGCGAGGTGAGACAGCGGGGCGAGGGCTCAGGAAGCTGGGGCACGCAGGTGGGGTGCTTCAGCTTTGGCTGAGGGGAGAGATTCCTAGGCCCCGGTGTCGGAGAGGCCTGTTCAAATCCGGCTCTTCTTGACTTCCTCTCAGAGCCTCTCTCTGATCCAGTCAGCAAATAAGCATAGGAAGCTTAGAGATTTTTCGTTTGGTTTTGAGACAGGGTTTCTCTGTGTTTCTCTGGCTGTTCTAACTCGTGATGTAGACCAGGCTGGCCTCGAACTCAGAGGTCCGCCTGCCTCCACCTCCTGTTCACCGGCATTAAAGATGTGCACCACCACTGCCTGGCTCAAGCTTAGAGGTGTAATTTCTTTTTCTGTTTTTTTGTTTTTAACACGTTTACCTGTGTGAGCCCCACCGCCGAGGGCAGGGAATGTGCATAACCAGCTCCGAGGGCTTTCCAGTGAGAGAAAACACACACACACACACCCACAGCTTTGGCTTCCCGTGACAATGACCTTGTCCGTTCAAGAACTCCTCTCGGAGGGAGCCACGTTTAACCCCCTGCTACTGTCCTTCAAAATCCTGTCTCCCCTGGCCTGCAGGGTAGGTCTCTTTGCTGCTGTGGGTCATTGCTATGGCACTTTTGCTTTTCCACACTGCTGCTGCTGTTTATGGTCAAGTGGGTTGTTCCAAGCTCCTTCAACACAAGGTGCTGTTCTTCGGGGTGTGAGGGGGCCCTGCTGGCCTGGTACAGCTGCTGGCTCCCCTGCAGTGCCAGGCTCTCCCGAAGCTGCATCCTCAGCTAGTTCTTTCCCGACCTTGATGCACTCCACAGTCAGGGCACTGAGCTTTGTGGCTTGATCTCCGTTTCCCTGATGGCAACAAGCCGTGTAGCATCTTTTCCTTAGTTTGTGGCCTTTGGGGTATTTTCTTTCACACATTCCTGCTCAGCTTGCCTTTTCCTCCTGCAAATAGCTAATTTCTCTTCTCTTCATTGATTTGCAGTTCCTGCATGTCTATTGTTCACTAGTCCATTTATCTGATATATATTTTCTCAGCTCTTTCACTTGTTTAGTAAAGGTCTTAATATTGTTTGTTTTTTGTTTAAACTTGGTGGCCCATGCCTTTAATCCCAGCACTTGGGAGGCAGAGGCAGGTGTACCTACCTCTGTGAGTTCAAGACCAGCCTGGTCTACAAAGTGAGTCTAGGACAGCTAAGGCTACACAGGGAAACCCCGTCAAGAAAAACCAACCAAACAAACAAACAAAACAAAACCAGAACAAAAACCAAAACACCTTATTTTTGTTTATGTGTATGAGTTTTTATTTGAATATATGAATGTATTCCATGTGTGTGCCTGGTGCCTGAGGCATTCAGAAGAGAGTGTTGTTCCCTGGAGCTGGAATCACAGGTAGTTGTGAGCTGCCATGTGGGCGCTGGGAATCAAGCCCAGGTTTGCAGAGCAGTAAGCGATCTCTCCAGCTCTAATGAAGTTTGTTTTTAAGAAATCTTTTCCTGGGCTAGGGGGATGGCTCAGTGGTTAAGAGCACTTGCTGCTCTTGCAGAGGACCTGGGTTCGGCTTGCAGCCATCTGTTACTACAGTTCCAAAGTATCTGCTATTCTTTCCTGGCCCCCAGGGTCCCAAGCACGTGCACGCTGCACATACACTTGTGAAGTCAGACACATAAACGAAATAAATCTGAGGGGGGACACCTGTACTCTCTTTAAAGAGCAAAACAAAAAGCCAGCCTGATGGCACACTGAAGAAGCAGAGGAAGGTAGATATCCGTGCGTGTAAGCCCATTCTGGCCTCCACGGGGAGCTCCAGGACAGCTTAGGCCACGTGGCGAGCCTTCGTTGTAGTTTTTTAGATAACTCTCAAAGGGGGGCATGCTGGTAAGATGCTCAGCGGGTAAGACTGCTTGCCTCCAAGACTGATGACCTGCCTTAGAGCCTTAGACCTGTATGGAAGGAAAGTCTCAGTCTCCAAAGGCTGACCTCTAACCTCCGCAAACCTGTGGCAAACGTGTGCACACTAAGTGAAAGTGTCATTTAAACAGTGTTTCAGAATAAAGAAATATTTTCCTGCCATGGATCACGTTTTCTTCCAACAGCTTTTTGACTGACTGGCCTCCATCACTATGGATGTGGGGCGGGGCCCAGGCTCATTTTCTTCACATGATAAATGAAAATCCAAAGGCTCTACCTATTTTTCTATTTGAACTTTTAGGCTCAGTGGCCGTTACTCCTGTAACAGGAAGAAAGCAGTTTTTAAAAGCATACGAGTAACATGAGATGGGAAACTGATGCCATCGAGGTTGCAGAGCTACAACTTAGGACTCTTGTGTCTGCCCACGGCTGACCTCTCTGCCTTGCTGTGGCCAGCTTTTCAGAAAAGCAAAGGCCTTACACTGTCACGGGGGAGGGACTTGAGGTGCTGCTTAGTGGTGTCCTGGAGGAGAGTGGGTCTTCCTGTGTAGCTGGGGAGACCACATGAAAGCGGTTCTTTTGAGGGTACTGACAGGGGACAGGACAGCCCTGGCCCTTCTGCAGAGGAGCGGTGACGGTATCCATGGCAGAGGCTGCCAGGGCATAGAGGTAGGCTGCTGCCTTGAACCTTGGACACTAATCTCTTCTCAGGACCCCCTCACTGAGCAGGGGACTCCCACCAGAAGCCCAGGGTGAGGACAGAGATGGCGCTGAGCCTGGAGTCTACAACCAGCTTTTCCCTGCTGGCTGTGTCGGGAAGCACTGTGTCTGAGCTGCCTGGCGGACCCAGTGTGTCCCTGAACGGATCCTGGACTGGCCCGACTGATCCCAGCTCCCTGCAAGACCTTGTGGCCAGCGGTGTCATCGGGGCAGTGCTGTCAGCCATGGGCGTGGTGGGCATGGTGGGGAACGCGTACACTCTGGTGGTGATGTGCCGATTCCTGCGCGCCTCGGCCTCCATGTACGTCTACGTGGTCAACCTGGCACTGGCTGACCTGCTCTACCTGCTGAGCATCCCCTTCATCATAGCCACCTACGTCACTAAGGACTGGCACTTTGGGGACGTGGGCTGCCGTGTTCTCTTCAGCCTGGACTTCCTGACCATGCACGCGAGCATCTTCACCCTGACCATAATGAGCAGTGAGCGCTACGTAGCGGTCCTGAGGCCCCTGCACACGGTACAGCGCTCCAAGGCTTACCGAAAGCTGCTGGCACTGGGCACCTGGCTGCTGGCGCTGCTGCTGACCCTGCCCATGGTGCTTGCCATCCGGCTGGTCCGTAGGGGCTCTAAGAGCCTCTGCCTGCCGGCCTGGGGCCCTCATGCCCACCGGGCTTACCTGACCCTGCTCTTTGGGACCAGCATTGTGGGGCCTGGCCTGGTCATTGGGCTGCTCTATGTCCGCCTGGCCAGGGCCTACTGGCTATCTCAGCAAGCTTCTTTCAAGCAGACACGGCGGCTGCCCAACCCCAGAGTGCTCTACCTCATCCTTGGCATCGTCCTTCTCTTCTGGGCCTGCTTCTTACCGTTTTGGCTGTGGCAGCTGCTGGCCCAGTACCGTGAGGCCATGCCACTGGCGCCCCAGACGGCACGCATCGTCAACTACCTGACTACGTGCCTCACGTACGGCAACAGCTGCGTCAACCCCTTCCTTTACACACTGCTCACCAAGAACTACCGCGAGTATCTGCACGGCCGCCATCGCTCGCTGCGCAGTGCTTGCCGTGGCCCAGGGCGTGCTGGCGGCTTCCCGCCCAGCAGAGCCCACCTCCAGCAGCACTCGGGCCGCTCGCCGTCCGCCAGCAGCCAACAGGCCACAGAGGCCCTCATGCTGTCCCCAGTGGCCCCTAGCGGGGCCTTCGTCTGAGAGTGCCCTTTGTGATCCTGGCGGTGGAAAAGGACCTAAAGCCAGGCCACTCGGGAGCCCATTCCCAGAATCCCGTACACAAACCCAACCAGCTTGTCTGTCCTCTTCAGTTCTCTTCTGGAAAGCTCCCTGTTCTTTCTCCTTTGCTGTCCACTTCAACCCTGTCAGCACCTCTCCTACCAGGCCAGCACACTCCTCCTTCAAGCCTATCGCTGACGGGCTTCAGAAGCTGTGCCCCAGACCCTCTTCTGAAGACCCTGGTGAGCTGAATCACACAAGACCTACTCACCCAGAGCAGCTAGTGCCCGGCTGTAAGCCCCACCCTTAGATGTAGGCGAGAGCCCTCTTCCATTGGCTGACCTGTAGATGTAGGCCCGCCCAGTCCCGAGGACCCTCTCCCATTGGCTGACCTGTGGATGTAGGCCCGCCCAGTCCCGAGGACCCTCTGGTTGGTAAGAGGCCTCTCTGCCCTTTCCCTCCACATCCCCCTCCCATGGCAGCTTCTTGCTTCCATGTGCAACAATAAACCCTCTGCTCTGCAGTCTGTCCTGCCTCAGTGCCGGGGATGGAAGTTGGGGTGGGGCGGCGGTCCTGGACCCAGGGGTCCCTATTTCCCGGCCTTTACCTGCGGATGTCTCACTTAGGGCAGGCCGGGCGAGCACTGCAGCTCAAGCACAGAAAGGAGGCCGCAGGCCTGAGACCGGGCAGCACGACCCACAGTGGCTTGTGTGGACAGCGATGAGGCCTGGATTCACTGTTCCTGACGGACTGCTTCCCTGTCCGAGGTACCGTCCTCGGGACAGCCTTTCCCAGGCTGACCATTTCTCCTGCGTGGCCACCCCTTTTAGGGTGACCGCCCGAGGCCGGGCGCACCTTGTCTGGTAGCACTCGCTGAATGTCAGGTGCGCTCCGGTGGCAGGACGTGGTGGTCTCTGGAACGATGGAATGTTCCAGAAATAGATTCTGGTGTCTGGCCGCAGAACTTTGTGCTTCACCGTGGTTAAGATAGTAGAGCATGAGGGATAAATTTGGGTACACACACACACACACACACACACACACACACACACACACACGAAAGGGTTGGGCCTGTAATCCCAGGAGCTGGGGAGACTTGAGGTCAGCTTGTGCTCTAAATTAAAAAAAAAAAAAAAAAAAGGAGAGAGACATGGTCTCACTATGCAGCCTTCCTTGGCTGGCCTCAAACTCACTATAGACAGGGCTGGCCTTGAACTCACAGAGATCAACCTGCTTCTGTGTCCAGAGTGCTGGGATTAAAGGCGTGTGCCACAACGCCCAACTCTGCAAAACAAAAACAGCCACTGGCTAGTGAGTCCACCTGAGGAGGATGTGGGATGTGGGTGGTGGGCAGAGCACCCTGAACCAGAGGCCCTGTCGCTGCTGCCCCTCCTTAGCCCAAGCCCCACTGTCTCTCTGATGCTGGCCTTCAGCCTCACCAAGCTCCTTCCTTCTTGACAAAAACCATTTCCTGGTCTTGATTCTGAGGACTCAGCGCTGGGCCTCTCACTGGGGGTCCAAGTTGGGACCACCTTCACTTGACACTCAGCCGTGCTGTGGCCTCAGCCCTGGCAGGGTGGCCCTCATTCCAGGCCCACGTCTCGAGGAGGCTTCTGTATCCTGCAGTGCTCAGAAGGCCCAGAGAAAAGCGCAGCATTACATCCCCACAAGGGCGCTGTGACTCAGGCAGCACACAACTGAAGGGTACCATCCCCAGAGAGGACCACAGAGGCTATTCTAGAGTACAGGACAGGGTGGCCATGAGCTGGAAGAGCCTGGGCCCTTAGGTGGAGTGCAGCTTCATCCCCAGGCCAGCATCAGGGAGGTAACACAACCCAGAGAGATACTGATACATCCCAAGTGTCCCTACCGCCTGACATCAACAAGGCCCTAATGCCGAGCCTCCAAAAGGCCACCTCTAATTCGAGGGGTGCGTGGCTTTTATGAAAGGACCACGTCCTGGGAGACTTCAGACCAACAGCCAGATCCCTGCGACAGTCGCTGTCCTAGAGTCTTGGCCCTGCTACTCTGGCCTCAGGGCCTCTCTGGTCCAGCACTAACAGAGGTTGGTGCCAGAACATGGTACGCACGTGCGTGCGCACACACACACCACATAAAGCGAATGCAACGAGTACATTCCATACACTTGTGCCCCAGCACACATCCCACATCACACACACACAGATGCATGTGATATTTACCTCAGACGTTGTCGGGTGACACTCTTGTGCATGCGTGGAGGCCGCCGCTCTATCTAAGCGTTGGTCGCTGCACCGACAGGGAGCGGAGCGCTGGCTGGACCTTGGACTGGTTATCCTTGTGGGTCAGCACTTGCGTCATATTTGTAAACACTCTTCCTCCCTCACTGCTGACCGCCTTAACAAAGAGCTGCTGGCCAGTAGCTGGGCAGAAAGGGGTTGGACTTCCCGGCTAAGGGAGGGTCTCTGGAAGAAGAATGGGATGAGGGATTTGCCAGCACCTCACGGAAGGACAGGCACTGGGACGGAGTGAGAGAGAAGCAGTGGGGCACATGATGGAACACGGGTCAGGAGCAGGCGGGGTTGACTGTAGGAGCCAGCTGAGTGTCTGCCCAGCTATTGTGCCTATGCTTTATGAGCAATAGTAAGTCTTCATGTCTTCATTCATCTGCTGGCAGGACCACGAATATCCCGAAATACACATTACACCCGCAATAAACAGGCCATACCACATACAACATACATCAAATGCAACACATGCACATACCACAGACACAATATTATGGCGTGTGCACAAAACACACACTAGACACACACAGCATGTCGTCTTCCAGAAATGCTGCCTGTGACAAGCCAACAGTGGAGGTGAGGTGTCAGCTTCCAAGTCTGTTTTTCTTTGGGAATCAAGAGAGGTGAGGCTGGTGAGGGTGGGCGTGGCCACCATCACAGCCATCTTGGCTCTGTCCCCCATGCCTTGGCTGGCCTCAAGTCTCACTGTGAGCTGGAGCTGCCCTCCCCTGAGACCTTCCTGTGGTCCCCATCACACAGGGAAAGCTCTGCTGGGGACCTCATATCAGGGTGTGCGGGGTTTACTGCGCTGTCGGCTTCTCTGTCACTGATCTGGGCTCTGCTCAGCCACCAGGCTTGGGGGCCACTGCTCTCCTGGACCTGTGGTTGTCAGCTAAGATCTTAATGTGCCCTCTTCAGGTCTCAGGTCCTCAGGGAACTTTTAGTGACCCGTCCTGTTTTAAACAAGGACAGGGCATGCATTCAGAGAAAAAGTGCAGGACTGTAGGCCTGGGGTGACCAGCGGGCCTGCTGATTGGTACCCCGGGGCTCTCTAGGACAGGGTCTTTCCAGATAGCCTCCAAGCTGTGGTAACAGAAAAGACAGGAAAGGTGGTCAGCTGAAGGTCCAAGCCCGGGCAAAGGCGAGACCACCAGGTCCGGAACACGGAATAAATGCAGAGAAAGTTATGATGGAGAGGGCCCCTTGCTGCTCTGCCCAGCCGTGAGAGAAGGGGCAGAACCAGTGACAGAGGGAGGGAGCAGGGGAGGTGGGAGGGAAACAGACCGGTGGAGGGGCCATGCTCCTAGGCCTGAACCTGGATGTTAATGAGATGGTGGAATCTCCGTGGAAGCCCAAGAGCAGCCTCCCAGGCAGGGGTAGCCAGTGGCTGGGGAGGATAACCTGCCCTGTGTGATTGATTAGCTCACAGAGGCTGAGGGACACAGGGTGATAGAGCAAGTTCTTCAGCTTTTAAATGTCATCCACCTGACACTCAAAGTCTAGCAAAGAAGAAAACAAGCTGAATCGTCCCTGTGGTGCAACCACAGTTGTGGCAAGACAGGAGGAAGGCGGGGCTGACCTTTGAGTGCCACTGGGGCCTCTGAGCTGTCCCAGGTTGAGCCAGCTTCTTGGGACACCTACGTTCCAGGACAGTGTTCCAGGTTTACGTGCCTGGCTGGGGCTGTCAGGCCCTGTCACCCAGGCTCCACCTGGAGGGAAAGCTCCCCTTCCCTGAAGGGGGGCTCTACCACCCTCCTCCTGAGACACTGGCTTTTTCATGCCTCAGCCACTGGACATCAGCCTGGCTGTGGACCAGAGCCAGACACTGTGGTCACACAGTGGTCAGGGGAGCAGAGGCAGCAAGGCTCTGGTGCCACTTTCCTCCAAGGTAGCAAATGTCCGAACACAGTGGCCCTCCAGAGGGCAGCCTGGCTCTGAAGACTCTGGAGACAGATCTGCCTTAGGTAGATGGGACACTCCACCAGGCAGGTGACCGTGTCCCTCAGGCAGAGTGAAACTCAGGTGGCATTTTACACACTCATGTGAAATACAAAATCATAAGAGAATGAAGGAGGGAAATGAGTACTCGTATCTCCAAAGTGAGGAAAAAGAAGATGGTTGGAAATCTGACCAGTGGCTGGTGGTGGCACACCTTTAAACCTGGCCCTCGGGAGGCACGCTGGGAGTTCAAGGCCAGCCTGGTCTACATAACAAGTTCCAGGCCGCCAGTACTATATAGTGAGATTTTGTCAAGAAAAAAAAGTCTGGCCCAGAACCCAGGAACCTTCAGGAAGAGAGAAAGATATGCCATTTAGAAAAAAATATATACTGTAAGCCAAAATAGAGGTCCTGTAGTAACAAAACAACAACAAACTTGGCTTTTCCCATCAAGAGCCCTGTGAAGCTGGTTGGTAGAATATTTGCCTAAGGGGCATGAGGAACTGGGTTCCATGCCCAGTACCACAAAACAAATAATAGGTAGGCAGGCAGGTAGGTAGGTAGGCAGGCAGGCAGGCAGGTAGGTAGGTAGGTAGGCAGGCAGGTAGGCAGGCAGGTAGGTAGGTAGGCAGGCAGGCAGGTAGGCAGGTAGGTAGGTAGGTAGGTAGGTAGGTAGGTAGGTAGGTAGGTAGGCAGGCAGGTAGGTAGGCAGGTAGGTAGGTAGGTAGGTAGGCAGGCAGGCAGGTAGGCAGGCAGGTAGGTAGGCAGGCAGGTAGGCAGGTAGGTAGGTAGGCAGGTAGGCAGGCAGGTAGGCAGGTAGGTAGGTAGGTAGACAGGTAGGTAGGTAGATAATGGATATGATCGTGATACACTGTTTACATGCATGAAGCTGTCAAAGAATAAATAATAATCTTTTAAAATTCAGATAAATAAATGGAGCGATACAAATACTTATGACTCCTACTTAGCAATTAGGATTTGATCTTGAAATCCAAATCTCAGGTGTTTTGATAAGGATTTATGTAGCCAGGAGCTAATGCCAGCATTGTCTCGGAACATCCTCCATGTTAACTAGGTCAAAGCATAGCATCTTCAGAAAAGAGCGACCTTCAGTGGGGTCAGAAGGGCTGAACCCGAGGCACTGCAATCGTGGAGAGAGACCAGAACAGAAAGCTGTAGAGCACAATTTCGCCTCATTTAAAACAAACAAGAGATGCATTTGTGTGCCGTGAGTCTGAGGTGTGCCTGTAATAGACATGCCTGTGTCTGTGTATGGCATGCCTGTGAGCATGACTCTGTGGTGTGTAAACACACAGGTGCAAAAAAAAAAAAAAAAAAAGAAAAAGAAAAAAATAGGTCCGCAGAAACACCTTAAGTATCAACAGTTAGTTCATGGTGGGAAAACTTTAGGGTTTTGTTGTTGTTTTGGGGTTTGTTTGTTCTTGTTTTTTCGTGTTTATTTTGGGGTTTTGGTTTTTGGACTTTTTGAGACAGGGTTTCTCTGTGTAGCCCTGGGTGTCCTGGAGCTAGCTCTGTAGAGCAGGCTGGTGAATGCACAGAGATCACAGGCTGCCTCAGCCTCTGGAGCTGGGGGGATTAAAGGCGTGCGGCACCGCTGCTCAGCTAGTGGTCATGGTTCTTATTTTATACTTTTCAAATATTCTCCCAGAGAATGCATGCAGCTTTAAACATGGACATGTTATGTAAGCATCCCAGAGTCGAAGCATTCTAGCACCCTAAACTTAAGTGGATCAGAGAACTCCCAGAACAAGGCTTCTGTGCCTGCCCAGGTCCCCTAGGCTCATAGCCCTCTACCCTGGGCCGTTGTCAGCTATGCCACAGGGAAAAGGAAATGGACTAAGTGCAAGAGCCTGGGAACTGGTGGTCAGAACGAGGGTCTGGGCCTATGCTGCC